GAATCATTCGGCTTCTCTTTCTTGCTCCATCGCAGTATTTCTCTTCAACAGCTTCAATAAAATCGATGAATTTATTTATTTCTCTTTTTCTTTTTAATGTTGGGATACGTTTATGTTCACAAAGAAAGATGAATTGATATTCGTACGAAAAAAGATTAACTTTGACGAGAGAGCTTATCTTCAGAGGTACGCTCTCGAGATCTCGACGAGGATGGGGTAATTGACAACGTTGATTCCGAATACGCAGTTTTTATTTACCGAGAACATTTCCTTCAAAATCCCTCCGGAGTGATATGTAGCGCATTGAAAAATGTCAGTTGTTACTAGAGTGTAAACTTTCTTACCTTTAATATCTTTAGACGTATGATCAATTTACCATGTAAGATATCCAAACCTGCGTACGTCTTTAAAAATATTTTCATCAAGTTAATATTTCCTATTATATTGTTGTTTGGTTCTCTTCAACACATCTATTGATGGAACTTCACTAAAGTTTCCTTCCTTTAGAAGATCTTCATTAGCATATCGTAAATTACGTTCATAGATGGCTAGTGATCGATGCTGATTAACTTGTTTTGCTAAAATAAGAATTCAATACAACAGGTTCGTGAACAATTGAACATATACCCATAGCTTCTCGATTAGTTCCAGTCAATGGACGGCCAGTCGTTTCCTTCTTTAGATCGTGCTTTTTATCACCTATAACCACCACTTTGAACACACATGGACTGCCTTTATTTTTCACTTCATGTTCAACTTCGATTTCAATCCTCACAGGACACTCACTATTTTTACAGTGACCTCTGGCACTGAATAAATTGGAATTCTTTTTCCGTGAAGTAGGATCTCGAATATGATGTTATCGAAAAATGATTGTAGACGTGATACCTAGTGTAACTAAATGCGGAGCAAGTTGATTTCACCAACCATTGTATACATCATAGGTTTTGTGATCGTAGAAAGCTCGCCGTTGTTCGTAAGTCATTGTAAAATACTGTACATAACGCGGTGTTAAAACATCTTTTGATCGCATAACTTTCGGTTAATTCGAAGGCACTATTGATAGAGCAGCATTATTGACCACCTATAGCTAGTTGCAGTGGGTTATGAAGCTAGTGTAAGTAGCTGCAGCGGGCGCTACTAGCTGATTTTTTCATGTTTGGGGAATTATAAAAGTAGCGCGTTCGGACCTGCTTTTTTTTAAAATTTTGTTTGGAACGTCTTTCAACTCGTTAAAATGCAAACTCGCTCGAATGCCTCATAGATATTTGAATGTCTAACTCGTTCATATGCGTTTCTATAAATTTGCAGTATGTTCATGAGTTCTAACTTTAATAAACGCTTTATATTCGGAAGACCCATAGAAATTAATCCATGTTATAGAAAACAGAATTTATTATAGAAAATGACGTCGATACTTCGTATGTACGAACATTGACGGCGTTAGCACCGCTTACATTTCTGACTTATGAGGCCAGACAGTTATTTTCTGTTTGATGAGATATGATTGATCACTCACCGATTCATGTAAAAGGAATACAGTAATACACTACAATAGGCAAAGTTGTTCAAGGAACTTTAAATCATACCTAAAAACTTAGTATGCATTCGACTGGTCTATTCACACGCTCTAACACATTAGAATATACAATAAACGTCGGAGAACGCCTTTGTAGCAAAAACTTTTTAACTATGCAGGTGAAACATAACTGACGCTTAATAACCTATGTAATGCTTTTTAAGTATACGTACGAAAACTAGATTTTGAACCAAAAAAACTGTTAAGAAACTGTTAGTAAACAATCAGTTTATTGTCTGTTATGTGATTATTGATAAAGGTTCGAGAAAAGGCATTTAACATACAACAAAATGTTGAAAGAACGGCAGTTAATAGTCGTTATTTACTGGCAATTTTTGGGCTGTTTTAATGGGAAAAAAACAGGCATTAAACTGTGTATCATAAAATGCAAAATAACTATCACAGTTAAATGCTGTTGAGAGTCAGTAATGATGTAAAAACGGATGATGTATGGTGCTATTAACTGCGCTGTCCTCGGTAACGCGAAAACAAATTCTGATATATCTAGAAATAAAGCCCTCAAAACTTTGAAACTAACGCATTTAAACCCGTTAAAAACAATGAATTATTTGCAAAATGTTTTCTTTTTTCTTTTGCACTGTGCTGGATTCACCTCCAGTTTGATAGAGAATACATTACGTACTTCAGATACTACATGCCTTACCAATCAGCGTGTACTCGAACGCGTTGGAACTTTCGTTCGGGTGATAAAATTATATCATGGGCATCTTTTGTGCGCACAATCAGCTTTTTCTAATGAATTTATTAGAAATAAATTACAAAAACTCTCATCGTCAATGAACAATCAATAGAAATTACTAACAAACAACAAAAAAATGCTCAGATGCTAGCAATATGTTATAATAATTCAGAACACAATCAACCACAGTTAGATTTAATAAAAACTTTCTGATCTGTCCAAACATATAAAGAATCCGTTTGTCGAAAGAATAACTTCAAACGTTTTGCTGTATAGAATACAACCATGTAGATTAGGGGGGAGGGTATCCATCAGAGTATGCGTTATCTGCTGCAGTTCTATGTTGTCTTAGCAAACACCTCTTTTAATGTAACAATTTATTTAATTAATGGGGTTTGGACTGCACATTTCTCTGTAAGATGAAGTATGACAGGATTTCTGTCTTGATTAAATAATTCGAAACTGCTTGCTAAACATCGCATGACCGTTAGGTACTGTCTAATATACGTTTATAGCTCCTTATCAAGAGAAACTGCAGCGAAACGAAACGACGTTCCGCTGCGCCTCATTCGCTAGATCTTTCTTTGGTTTCTCTACAACAATAGATCATAAAAAACCTTTAAAATATTGCACTTTGTAATCAGTTGATCGAGAGAAACAATGAACTATATTCGCGAATAAACGCTACATGTTTGATTCTATTCTTTACGCGCATAGACCTATGTATTCAATCGAACATACCACAAACAGCGTCTTTACAATATTTGTGCCTATTACTAAAGAGAGATTCCATCCGAAATACAGCAAGAAAACCACTTCATCTCTTCAAAGCCCCACTCAGACACCAGTACTCAGGTAGAATGTACAGCCAATCATATACAATAATTCATCGACCCCACATGCAAATAATTAATGGGAACAAGTGAGAATCAAAAGCAAGATACTATCCACTCGGAAAAAAGATTTTAAAAAACAATTTCTCTCAACAAAAAACATAGTCTCACACAAACAAACAAATTAAACCAAAAGTATTACAAAACTCAGCGTTAACCGATTAGACCCTGAATCCACGTGATATAACTGGCCACTCTAGTGTAGACACCTGGTTTTCCTGCACCACCACACGAACTGACGTTTGATACGAGTCCGATCAGTGACCATTGTTTAGACACCTGAGAATATTGCATGAGAGGTGCACCGAAATCACCGGCACACGCACTTTGTAATCCTTCAGCGTACCCAGCACAGAATGCCTCAGCGTTATACGACTGGCTACCTATGTTGAGATACTGCGAACAGTTGCGATTTGTTACGTTTTGTGTCAGCAGAATAGCCTGATTCAAAATGCCAGTGAAGACGGGTTTGCTTGGCGTTCCTGATGTGCCATATCCAACGACAACAGCGAACTCATTGTTCGACGGTATTCTTGTATTGTTGACAGTAGATGGCAGACAAATGTATGGCGTCGAGGGTGGTACAGTAGCCAATTTGAGTAGAGCCAAATCGTTGATAGTAAGACCGTTGCTGGTGCTCACTCTAGTGGGGTACAAAATGACTTGTGACACGGTCGAAAACTGTAGCGAACTAGAAAAATTGTTTTTATTGGTCAGACCATAATCGACAAACAACGGGGTTACAGTGATGTTAGTTAACTTATTTCCTACTAAACACGATGCCGTGGTTAATACCCATGTAGGACGAATGAGAGCACCGGTACAAAAGAAGGTGGTTGCTGAACCGATGGCCATTATCCATGGATAAACACTTTTGTCCGTGACAGATGTACCACCGACAACGCGTTTCTTTCTGGATAATGTTTGAGTGAAGTTTTGAAATACCGGATCGTTCAGTCCGCCGCAACCGCAGGATGCCAACAGATTACACGATATGACACGATAGTCGGCGGGCACTGCGCGAAAAACCTTTGTTGTAATTGGAGGTGCTTAAGAAAAACGATTTTGAACAAAACCCATCGTGAAGTGTATTGTAAGATGAGTCATGTAAATGTTCAGGTGGTACGTTGAGTGATTCCCCTATGTCACTTTATCATTTAATGGGAACCTTTTGAAAACTCACAGTGATATGCAATGATAGTCGTCCACGGCCTTTTCACTAACTTTTAGGCCAAAGAATAATACAAAATGTTAACTTTTATCTTAATGGGTTATCAGGATACGAAACTGGAATTCCTTTATTGGCTTGATAGTCTTAGTTTTACAAGCAAAATCTCTGTTTACGTTTTAGTTTCCTGACTCCTCTCTCTTCTAGATGCTGATTCTCCACCTCTATCCATTACTCTAATGACCCTGTACTATGCTTATGTACTTAACTTCTATCGGTCTTAGAGCAAATCTTCTACAATTTATTTTCAGAGCGTACAACTCTTTACTACGTCGAAAATCGCCTCACAACCATAATTCATTACAAAAACTTCGATCTGAAAAAATTAATGTGAAATTAAAAGTCAAATTATGTGAAGCAGGAATGACTGTAAAGGCACAACTTCTAAAACTACATCTGTAAAAGAAAAGAAGACTTACTATGAAACTGACCGAAAATATTTTTCCTTCATGTGCTCTATACAATTTCAAACAGCCGATAAATACTGCCGTTTCTCATAGATCATGTTTAGATAAAATTCTATATTCTTGGAATCAATGTACACCATCACAGCACTCTATACAATTAATAATCGGCATCATTTTTCCCTAATTGTACCGTCGATTAGGAGTCGTAGATCTTATAACTACCGAACCACTATCTCTCATCCAACCAAACAAATGAATTATTTGGTGCTATTTTCGACAGTTGCAGACAACTTCAAAAAGTTCTACTATCAAAAGAGTAAATTGGTGTAATCGAATTAAAAATGTGGAAAGTAAAACAGACAAACGGGGATAATTTGTCTTTCTAGAGCGTGTGGGAAGAAAAGATTTCATCAATTATTCTGTAAATATTTAGCATCTACCCGTCGGATTAGGCTGATATCGATAGAAAAGATCTAAGGCCTCTTATGTACTGTCGCAAATACAGAATAGAAACGGAAACAGGTGTAACTATTTAAATGTTGACACTTACTTATTTGTTTTAGAATCCACGTGATATAACTGGCCACTCTAGTGTAGACACCTGGTTTTCCTGCACCACCA